AAAACATGCTTGGCTTTGGTCACACAACGTTTCTTATTGCCAGTTTCCACGGTCTCCGCTAGGAACGCCTGGGAGCATGACCCCCCTTTTTTGTCCTAAATACGAAGAAAAACAACTTGCAGATTATAAATCGCGCTGCTTACACAAGGGAGACTAAAGAGCAATGTAGGTCTCTTTTCATTATCTTTTTTTGTCATCTCAGATAAATTTAACACTCTTTTTGTAAGATAAGGTACATGTAAGGTTGATGAATCTCTTTAGGGCTGATCCCTCAGTTGCTAACTACTTTAGGTAATTTCACATTTTTAAAGAAGTAAATTTTTGTCTCTTAACTGAGCATGCTCATGTGTTATTGAAATTGATTGTAGGGTGGTTTGTCACAAGATGATGTCTGGCTCTACCCCATGCAGTTCCATTCTATTGCACTCTCGTTATTCTGCTCATTGATTGCTCCATTTGGAGGATTTTTTGCCAGTGGATTCAAGAGAGCATTTAAAGTGAAGGTAAAACAATCAAGCCACTCTGGAATAATAATAATAATTGGATGTCTTGTGCATGCAAAGCAGCTTTAAAATTTAAAATTTTTCAAAGTGCAGGTAGTTTTTATTTGCCTTGGTAAAAATTTGCTCTGCTCTGTTATGTGCTGTGTAACCCTTGAACTCGGGGGCTGTCAATAAGGGCCGGTAGCCAGCCAAAACCGCCGGTTAGTTAGCCATCCTTAGCCAGCTACTTTCATCTCCTTCTACCATAGTTGCTAACAAAAAATAAGCACCATCGAATAAAATTGTAAAGCATCCGTTTCCCAGTTTTGAATGACATTGAACACATATTTAAACAGGTTTAGATTGATGTAAAACGTTTGAACCGTGCAATGTTCTGGAACACCTGGGGCATTTTGACTGCATTGTTCCCAGTCTTGCGTGTATTCTGACAAAACAGCATGGTGTCCGCAGTGGAAAAGACCTCCTGAAAACCCCTGGAAAAACCATTTCCGAGACTCAAAATTTCAAAATGTCCCTTAGATGCCTTGGCCCTCAAGAACTTGTACCTTTGGTGCGAGTTCCAGGGCTGCGAACTACTCATTATCAGCCTGCTTCTTAGAAACTTTTGGACAGCCATGCATAGCATGTACACATTTATACTCTGGTGATGAGAAACAAAGCATCTTGTGCAATAAGGCTTGAAGGCCTGCAACACCTACAGCTGTACATATTATAACCACCAACCCCTCCTCTGCATCTTTCTTTGGTAACATTTTGTTAAATTTTAATAGTTGACCAACAAAATGTCTGATTATTTCCTTGTTAGAATGGTTTAGAAGCCTCATGCATTCATACATTACTTACTTTTTGTCAGGATTTTGGAGACACTATTCCTGGTCATGGAGGACTAGTGGACAGGTTCGATTGTCAGTTCCTTATGGCAACGTTTGTGTATGTCTATCACTCCACATTCATAAGGTATGAAAGTTATTGATAATACATTTAGATATGTACCTCCTTTAAAAAAATGATTTAATTATTATAGTATTGATTAAATAATATCCAGCAAATTCATTTTTTCCTACTATTACCCATCAGGGCACCTCAACCTCACAAAGTATTACAACAAGTTTTATCACTGCTGCCAGAACAACAGTTGAAAGTCTACACGGAGCTTCGGTCCAACCTGATAAGAAGAGGAATGCTGTGAGCTTAAAGATTCACTTAACCACTACTTTGTCTTATAAAATTATCATGTGGTCTCCAATTTTAACTTAGATTTCTCAGAAGGCTAAACAAATGGATTCCAGCTCTTCATGAACCATGCCTACTTGTTGCGAATGACCAAAAAGGACTTTTCTCGAGTCCTGCAAAGACATTATAATAATTATGTTTTATAAAACATAATAATATTGTATTACTTCATGAACATACATGTATCACTTGGTCAGCAAAGGAGCACATTTCTTGCTCTCCATTTCGTCAAACCTTTTTAAGAGGGCGGGTTTGGCTTTATATGTTCACTCTTGGTATTAAATCACTGGTGCCTGGGTACCAGTATAGAATGGTGTTGTGTTTAGACACACTCTTTGTACTTTGTACACTTCATGTATCTAACTTCAAAGGAGGACTCAGTTCTATGCCTTTTGCAGTACTTTTTGCTTCTTGGGGCTGCAAAATGACCACTTAGGTATCATAAAATATCTAGGGAAAACATTGTGAGAAAATTGTATTGAAGAGCTATTTATCACCAATATTGCACTGAAGGGTGCCATATTTCACCTATGAATGATAAGTGAGATGAAGTTCATCAAGTTTGCTTTTAGCTGAAGACATGATCAATTCATTAGCTGACATGCACTCTATTTACCTGTGGAGAAACGAGACAGTGGAAGTCATTTGAGTGCCCAACTAGAATTAACTGCTGTTTTCTTAGGGCATTCACCAGAAGTCAGAAATGTCTGGCCGCAGCAGCTATTTTGAAAAAATAGTTTTCACTAAAATTCACAACTTCCATGCATACTGTTGTTTTAAAAGTAGACTGATCTAGCTGTATAGCCCTGATTAATAGTGAAATTCTCATTAAGATTGGACTGGTCTGGCCAGCCAGTCTTGAGTAGTGGTGAGTGCTTTGCAACATTTGTGTAGAAGTGGAGCCTGGTTGAGGTTCTTGGTGCTACCTGATTATAATGATTGGATATTAATATCAGTACAGTGGCAAATTCCCGGGGCAAATTTGGCCAATTCAGCTCATGTATCTGATTAGAAGATGCTGTATAAGAGCTTAATGAGTGGTTAAGGTAACAGCAGCAGTAGTCATATCAGAAATGATTAAGAGACTTGGATGTACGATTCTGAGTGTCTTTATAGCACATCAAAATGTATAATTTGCTTGGTGAATTTCTCAACTGATAATATACATTTTGTACTTAAGTAAACAGACTTTCCAATTACTATCACCTACCATGTACACGAGCCCAGGGGAGGTAATCCAAATTTCGCCTGACAAAGACGATTGAAGGATTTTTGTGGGTTTGAAATTTTCCATTCCAGGATTTTTTAAGGTGGGAAAATTTGGCCAGTATTTTTTTGGGCGTCTTGATTAGGTAGGGATTTTTGGGGGTATTTTTCGTGTTATAACAGTTTTCTGGAAAATTTTGAGGCTTGGAAATTCCATTTGGGATTTTTGGGGGGTTAATTTTTTAGTCAAGGGATTTTTTTGGGTTTTGATTTTTTTCCCCGTTCGATCATCCCCGTCACTTGAAATCCGGAGTACTCCCCCTGGGAAAGGGAGCACCCAGTGCAGGTATTGTGCTGGGATATTGTAAAAATAACTCTCCTTTAATATTCCATCCAAAAATATATCTACAGTAGTCAAGCCTATATTGTTTTTCAGTTGTATTTTTGTTAGTTTTTATTCATGTGGGACCATGAATTCCAATGTTTTCAGCACCCACTTGGGAGTCATCCATTAAGGGATGGACCATTAGAAATGTTTTTTTTTTGGGCGGGGGGGGGTTAGGGGCATAGTGCACAACAATATATATTCATGCATGGGAAACATAACTATTGAAAAATGGCATTGTTTGTCATGCAGCTTAAATAAAATACCACCTCTGCCAAAACGTTTCGAACGGTCCACCTGAATCTGCTGGGGAGGCAAACATCTCTTTTATTTATTCTTAAATATTATTATTCTCATGTCACTAATTAGTAATAATAATTAATTATTATTAGTTTTAGTGGGTATTATTGTAAATTGGCCTTTAAATGTGGTGTAATTAATATTCAGCAAAGTGACTGTGAATAAAAATCTATGTATACTCTGAATGTTGATTGTTCCAATAAATATTTATTGTTGTGAGTTAGTTGTTGGTGGAGCTTTTGCATGCATGAATATCACACAGTAGAGAACCATGGGTTATCGTGTGACCATTTTTTTTTTGTCCATCCACGTCCTACATGTAAGCCAATGTCAAATGTCACATTTACTACTTGAGGACATCCATATGGTGAATTGACACATGTCAAAATCAGGCATCTGCTGACATATCACATGACCCTCTTGCGGGCTCGTTTTGTACACACAGCAAGACAATGCAAAATGTCACGCTTAGCGACAGAAATAGTGCATCTTGCCATTTACACGAGACCGTATTGTGGGCTCATTTTTCTACCCATCATCCGGATGAATGTAGTCCTGAATAGGACTGTCACTGTCACATGGGACACAAACACATTGCTGGAGTGCACAAGATGCAGTAAGGCAAGAAATGCAACACAAACACACCATTAAAACGGTTAATTTCCTCTCAAGACTCTATTGCATTGCTTGCTCTCCAGTGAGGTGTTTTTGTATCATGTGACTGTTTAGCTGCAAAGGACCCAGTTTTCCCCTCTTAATGGGAAAAACACAGGGTATTAAGGGAAAACCCAAGGAACATTACATTAAACCAGTATTTTTTCCCCTGGTTGACGCAGGGTTTCTAGGGCAGAGGGGTACAGACAGGAATTTCAATGACGAAGAAATGCCACACTGTAGTTTATCAATTTTCATGTTCTAAGTCCTGTAAAAAGTGCACACTATAGATGAAAAATGTGACAATTCAGGGCCTGTCAACTTTTATACAAAATGTCATGTCAGTGTAAATGGGTCCTTTTGCAGCTAGTCATTCACAAGTTTGAATAACCTGCGATCAGGCGATTATGAATATCTTATACCTATATTGGAATGGCGGAATAAAGAAATGCAAAGCTCATAGCAGTTATAGACACAACTGACACACTTGTGTGTTTATCCTGTTTTAAAAGATGAAAAAATGTTTAGCCAACCAAAAACACCTTTTATAAATGAATGAAAATTGATGGTGAAAATAGCTATCCTTGTACCAGAACTTTTAAGTTTATAAGAGATTTTCCCAATTGCCATCAACCAAACAATATTCACAAGGTGTCACCAAACCCAAGCAGGGCATGCACATCCCCTAGCAGGACTTTAAAAAATGACAACACTTTTAGCAGACGGTTTTTATTCCATTTCAGTTAAATATGCACTTAAATTTGGCTGTTTGAATATACTATTGTTATTTTAAGAAAGAAATCTTCCGAAGGTGTTTAACACAGAAAATACCAAAGTGCAATCCAACACGTCTCCCTTTTTTATGTACATCTTGATGGCAGTTAAAAGTTAAGTCCACGATAAAGAAAGTGAACACTTAAATCTATAATCAATTAATCTTCATTTGTCATGGGCTCATCTTCATCAATCTTTGGAGCAAGATAGTATCTAAAAAAGAGAAAAAGTTTGTATGATGCACTGCAATGTTAAACCAAAGCAAACACTCATTCCATTTATAGGGACAAACTGCGAGTCAAACTGCGACTTTTTGTTATTTTCACGACCAATATTGTTTACTTATCTTTACCTTGCCACTCAGATCTTTCTTATACTAATGTAAGATTTACAAAACATATCTAGTAGCTTGAAGACCTCTGTAAGCTTGTTACAGATTTCTTAGATTTCCCTTTTATCATCTCTGCATTATTAACTTGTTGATACCCACACCAGTAATTGATGTCATCAGTTTTCACCTCATTGTTTCAGATATTCCTGGGTTAGTTGGCTTTTGTTTCACAAAACTCTTAGAAAATCCCCAATCTGGGATCTGTTCTTGATACCAAAGCAAGCTTGGGAATGTAATTTACCGTGAAATTATGTTTGAGTATCTTGAGTATCATAAGTATTAAAATGTCAACTTACTTGAGGTTGCCCATTTCTCCAATGCGGTAATCAAGAACAAGAGGAACATCGTCCTTCAGTGACATGGTTACAGTGTTTGATAGGGGAGATGCCTAGGGAAATGTAAGAGAAAATCTATCAAATTTAAATATAACACAACTATATAATTATTATTTAACTCCTATAACCTTAGAGATTCTAATAAGCTTCCTGTTCTCTTGGCAAAAACCAATTACTATAAAAATAGCTTGACAATGGAGAAAGAAAAGGAAATCCAAAAACTTATTCACAGTATAAAGCCTAAAATTACGTGACATAGCTATATACAATAAAAAGCCCAATTACTTAATAGAACATAGATATTATATAGAATTAGCATAATATAATTATTGTTGACTAAACTTGTTCATACCAAAGGGCTATTCTCTAGTAGCAACTGGTGGCCCTTGCAGCTCACTTACCTTAAGCAGACAAAGAAGTCCTAGTTTTTTCACAATTATAATATTTTATGCTGGGCACCCCTATGGATTTTCGTAAGTTCACAGTCTTGCCGACTATAATATTAAGAAGGTGATTAAAGTACTTTGAGTATTGGTTGGATGCTGTACATACCTTTGTGAAAAAGTTTAGATATCTGAGGGCAAATGTAAGTTCCACTGGTTCATTTAGTTCAATTGAAACCTGCAATTGTGGGTTTAAACACATGTCAATATTTTTCTCAATAAATGCTGGGTTTGTTAATTTCACCACCCTCCTGCCCCATCCTTCTGGGAATCTAGGTATAGGGGTCACACTTTCATACCAAAAAAGGTAAATAATGGAAGGTGGAAAAGAAGTTGTATGTGTTGATTTTAACACAAACATGTTTTTTTAACACATTTTCTTGGGCTGATATATATCCTTCTTACAGGTATGTTGTTAGCCATGACCACAACAAGAATGACATATATAGCTACAGTAGTGATTGCAGATTATTGAGTGCATTTGAAATTAGAGTTTGTTTTGGTTGATGTTTCATGATGAACTCAAAAACAATGAAATTAATATATGTTCTACCATAGAGGGAATGTCCAGATGGTAAAACCCCAATAGATAAAGCCACTTACATAAACCCTATATGTGCATATGTGGACAGATAGACAGCCTCCATTTTAGCGTGATGATATTAAAAGCTATGCAGCTTATGGGGTCATCCATATAAAACTAAACCTAATAATGAACTATATACATAATAAAATAACACAAAATCAGACTATCTAAAAGCTAATTGTTAAAAACTCTGACTTAACTGTATATGGAAACTTTTTTGTGGCCACTTAACTGTTGCATGACACAACAGTCTTTTAAAAATTCAAGATGGCAGTTATGAAAAGTTGCAAGCTAGGACAATGAAAAGATCAACACTAAGTGGCACAGGACCCCCAAGAATATGAACTGCACTTGAAATTTACATTATTACTAGTATCCTACCTGATCTTCTTCCTTATCAACGCTTGCACTTTGTTTAAGGAGAATGTTTCCCACTCCTAGATCACCAGAAGCCGAAAACTTTACACCCTCTTTTGTGCAGTTAATTTTTACAGAGTCACCAATCTGTGTCAGGTCACGACATATTCTCTGGAACTCAGAGGAAGGCATGTGAACAACAGCATCATACTCTTGGTCCTATCATCCACAAAAAAAAATTATTAAAGCTAATGACTTCAAAAAGTGAAAACAAGTTAGTTTTGACTCTCCTTGTACCTTTTCAAGCTAAACTCTCAGAATAAGTTCAAGCTCCAGTTTCCATACAGAAATTCTCCAGACTTGGGCTGGCCCCTGGCACTTCACTTTTGCTCTTAGGTGACTAGGAAATCATAGTTTTTCACAGAAATCATATGGTCACAGGTTTAGAGCAATGGGCTCCCTTAAGTTTTTCTTAGATTACACACATGACAGCCTTGAGGCTGATCTCCATAGATTTCCTTTAACAATTAGCTAAGAGAATTTGACAAAAGATCAAACCATTATTTTTGCCTTTGGTGATCATTTTACTAATTCTCATAACCTTTCTGTTGACGATGTTAGGAGAAAAGAGATTTTGGCCACCACTCTGAGGACACGAAGAGTTAACCTAAAATTTGTCGGTAAAAGGAACATTTAAGGAATCTTTATGACCTACCGGGATTCCTAAATGTTCACTATCAATGTCCATAAGTTTTATACTGTAATCACATACTCTTTCTTGGTCTGAAATAAAGATATGAATAAACATAAATGTAAGAATAAAAATGTACACAGATAATTTTAGGTCAAGATGGGGATTTTGCCAGGCTACTGGAAATTGAAAGCACCAGTTATCTTGGCAAAAACAGTTTCTAATATATAAATATTAGCAAAGGTGGAGCTCCTGTTAGAAAGTGTGGCATTTCACATTGGTTCCTCTGTAATGCAGACAATCACATGACTACCAAAATTTCTCCGATGGGTAGATAAACAAGTTTTCTTGGCTATGGGGCTCTGCTGACATATGCTTAAAGCACATGTGGAGCTTCACCATCATCAAAAGATGATAAAAATTCTTGACTGTGATAGAAAGTCCATGACATACAATTATTCAATACTGGGCATTGCTTTTCATATACATTGCCCAAATAAAGCAAAATGTGCTATGAAATTTCCTGAAAATCACAAAGCTTAATTCCAACAAGAAAATACAGTTTTCATACAAAATATTGCCAATCTGCCAAATTAAAACTCTGAGCAAATTTAATGCCATATGGTAGTAATTTTGGACAACAAAATTAACAGTGTCAGCATAAATAGTAATTAATTGAAATAAATTACTTACTTTGACTTTCAAAGACAAATGAAACTGTATCGCTTGAGTCTTCAGCTTTAATAGTAATGCTATCATCATTGCTTGCACACTTAAGAACTTTTGAGAGTGTTGGAGTATCCATGCCAAGGGTGATGTTTCTGTCGCACCTGAATGGCTCAAATCCATCGTGACTCAATGACAGAGACACCAGGCTGACGTGACTACTGTCCATGGCTTGTACAGATATGCCATTATCAGAACAGTCCCAGTTTGCATGGGGAACCAGGTCTTTAATGGCTTCAAGGATCTTTTTGAGTACACTGCCTTGTGCAAGTTTTGCTTCAAACATTTTGACAAATGAAGTTGAGATGAATGTCTTGATGAATAAAAGCAGTCTGATCTGAAAAGAAGGTCAAAATTTTCTGAGTTAGTGCACTCTTAAACTCCACTACAAGAAAGAGCCTACTGTCCCCAGGTGGATACTGTCAAATTACTTTATTCCTGCTGCCTACTTCCATTTTTATTGAAACCCCTGATAAACCATTTTTGAAATTTGGGTTTTTCGTATGCAAATCACTCTGGTCTCCCATGCCTCAGACTCGCATATTCCCGAGGAACAGGAGTTATTTTTCAGATGTTAAGTGCAACTTTGTTGCCTTGCTTGTAATGAGCCAATTGGTTACTCCTTGCCAGAAGGAATTTACAAATTCATTTCTGTTGCCACAACATTTAGAAAATAATTTATAAAACTTAATGATAGATTTACCGATTACTTCATAGCATAATTTCATCGAACTGTTCAGTATTAGATTGGAATGAATGGAAGACTTGAAATTCGATCGAGCATGCAGCTAATTCTATTCAATATAAATCTAACTATTGATGGGAAACACAAAAATTTTCTATCAACAAGAAACCGAGACCTGCTCGTTTTTTACTGCTGTGAGCCGATAAAAAGGAAAGCTAAAGCTTTGAAAGAGTAAAGATATAAGCTAAACGCTCGAGGCTCGTCGGAGGACAACAATGATCGATTAACTCAAAATGGCGGGAAAGCAATACATGGTTCCCGCGTTCAACGATCAGTGTGGATCAGAGATAATATGGAGCATTAAATGTCCGCAATTTGCTCTGTAGTACAACTCTGCTATGAGCATGAATGATCCGATGTACACAACCGCAACAAACGAAGACTAAGATTAACCTAAATATTGCATTGGACGAATCGAGTTGATCAAGTAAGATAATTATTTCAGCGTGTCTCCCATAAAATCCCTATAATTTGTATGATTTCGTTGTAATCTGTCTTTACTACTTGTCAAAAGAACTAAGGAATGAAATTTAAAGTAATCGACCGGCGAAATAACACACAAAACTACGACATCTCTTCGATTAAAAATCAAGCTATTAAGATGGCCGCCTAGAGTCGAAAAGCGAACTTCTCAATCGACATCGACTCCTCAAAATCGCGTCAAATGTCTCAACATTACAGGATTTTCTCCTTTACAAATACCTGATTGACTGTGTAGCGAGACATTTTGAGTAACTTTCAACAATTTTTCTTTTCTAAAGCAGCACACAAACTAACAACTGTACATACCTCTCGTCCCGGCGATGGAGAAGCAACTTATGAATTACGCGCCAAGATTTCAAGCAGGAAAAGTGCGGGAAATTCAATTAGAGGTGTCTGATTGGTTTGTGCTTAGCACGTGATCCATCACGAGGACGTTTTTAGCGGGAAGCTGGGAAGACACTTGGAGCCATGAATGCTGGGAAATCTTTCCTCACCGGGCAAGTTTAAACAAGCTCAAGTCTCCGATAAAGACCCACGGCAGGTGTGATTATTTGAATGGAACGCGGAACGTGACGTTCGAAAGAACTTTGTGTGAGAAATTATATATTGAGGTGTACGAACGCTACATGAAAATAAAGTTAAAATTTTGTTCAGCAGAATGAATAAATTAAAAGAGAGCCTTACTTCGTGCTTTGGCGTGTTTTCATCGCTTACAGCTTAGCCCGCGTAGCAAGCGTTTCCGTGTGCTTTCGGAGCAAAGAAAGACAGCACGAAAAATGGGGCGAGTAAAAGAGGGGGGAGGGGGAGGGCTCTCGTTCCTTAAAGTACAAACATTAACCACAAGGAACTGCAAAGGACCGCAAACGAATATGAATATGAATATTTCGCGCTGCCATCCCGTTCCTCGGTCTTTCTTTGCTCTGAAACCGCACGGAAACTCTTGCTACGCAGGCTACGCTTAGCTTTGTTACGTAACCACTGTTACTCCCTGCATCGGTTATGAAGGGAGTTACAGTATTGTAATTTGTTTCTCGTACAAAATGTCGTTTACTTCAACGGTCGACTGTAACACGACACCCGCTAACACAAACGTCACTTGTCGCGTTACATTGTTGCTGTATGACAGTAAGTTTGGGTGTCCTGTGAACTCAGTCCTGTACTTTTGCATGGCTTGTCTCTTACTTTACGAACCACAAACAAAAAGGATCCCCCGAAAAACACTTGTCAAATAGGCTACGAAATCAGCGCTGCTAATATTAACTATAAAAAAAAATTAGCGCGGGGATCATCCTTCATCACTATACATAATCTTTCAGTTTCAGTTTATTTATGGCCAGAACAGGGGCCCAGAAAGCGAAATATCACTCATTTAAAAGATTGTACACATGAAAAAAAAGTTGACGACAGGAGAATTATCCCATTCTTCTGGCGAGAAAGCTCAAATTGAAACCTTGCAGACTTATTGCTATGAGCTTCCTCCCTAATCGTGAGCGGCGAAATCATGTTGTCCTCCAGACATTTCTCTTGTTACTAATGTGGTGATGGATTATATATATTGAAAAATTCTTTCTTCCTTTCATTGGGGATCCTTTCCTTTATTTCTTCTGTAGTTTCGTTGATATGAAAGTAAAGTTAATTGTGTTAATACCAGAAAGTCCT